ATAGTGATTTATAAAACTAGTTTAAGAAACATATTATATATTTTTATAAGAGAATAGATTATATATTGAAATTACACTTTTTATTCAGAAAGTATGAATTAAATCATAAAAATATATAATTTGTAATATATTTAGTAGTATGCACTTTTTAGAAAGTATATAATTTGTAATATAGTTTTGTTATATATTAATATATACTTTTTGAAATATTAATATATTTTAATAATATATTTATAGGAAATATGAATTAAATTGTATAAGTATATAATTATAATTTTCTTATTATAATATTATAAACTTTAGCTAGGGGTTAAACCCCTGACAAAGTCCAAAACGTAAATCAATTTGCTAGGGGATTTACCCTTCACAAATGTCTGAGACAGTTAGTTAGGGGCTTTACCCCTCACCAAATGCAAAACACAGATGCTTTAACTAGGGGTTTATCCCCTAGAAAATTACATGACATGTATGTGCCACTCTGTGTCACTAATCTGCTTTTATGCCTGCTGTGTAGCAGACTGAATTTTACGAGTTACAATTTGCGAGGGGCTTACCCCTAGCTAAATTTGTGAGGGGTTTATCCCTTAACCATAAATTTGCGATGCCCTGATTAGCTAGGGGTCATATCCCCTCGCAGATTTATGTTTTGTGATGAGTTTTTTTACGATCATCAAAATACCAAGGTTAAATTTATGAACATGTGTGAAGAAATATTTCTCTTTGTAAATATCTTCCTAAGTATTTGTAGGAATGTTTCTCTATGGTTGGGGATGTTTTTGAAAATTATCTTCAACAAGTTGAATGTTTCTACTCAATCGACCTTATTTCATGCACTCATGTTCGCCTTAACTAGATGATTGTAGAAAATCAAATGGTTATTTTTGATAAATGTGTGTGTGTGTGTGTGTGTGTGTGTGTGTGTGTGTGTGTGTGTGTGTGTGTGTGTGTGTGTGTGTGTGTATGTGTGTGTGTGTTGTGTGTGTGTGTTATATTATATTTTGGTCCACCCATGTAATCAAGTCCTTGATAAAATTACACCAATTGATCTTTTAAGTCACTTATTTTGAGACAAATCTTTGTCCTTGTACCGACACAATCCGACTCCGGTCAGGAAATGACCCTGAGTCAAGTATTTTTGAAATATTTTTGTGCAAGAAGAAGGAGTCTCTAGATCCATAATTTTGAATAGGCCTCCTGAGTGAGAGGGATCACCAAGAAAAAATGATTTATGAAGCCTTTTACATTATTATGATAAGGCCCAAAATATTTAGTATATTGCCATATGGAAATAATTCTAGATCCATCTGCGAATTTAGAAACACTAATTACCCAAAAAGGTGAATAAATAAGGTCAATGTTGGTTTACTACCTTTATACTGGCACCAATGTTGAAAAACCTTTACAAAAGCCCAACTTACGAGATAGAATTGTGAATGAGCAACCGACAAATGATTAGAGACAGTAATATCAAACTCGTTTAAAGAAAATCGATAGCCGATTAAGGAGAATAGACATCCGTGAAACTCATTTAAAACCAAATGGTTCAAGGCATTAATTTTAAAATTTTGGGTTTAAACATGATATAAAATAATTAAGAATTTTATTTGGTAAGAATTATAATACATTATTTCTCAATTTTTCAAAATCAGTCTGGTGCTCTAACTCTTGTTGTCTTAGCTAAAACAATTGAGTTTGCTGGTGTTGATAGGTTAATGAGCCAAAGTGTAATTCAAGAGATCTTGAAAAATTGTTTCAATCATTTAACTGATTGTTTTGAAATATCCATTTATAGCACCCAAGAGTATCCCCTTTCATATAAAAATCAACCATGGATAAACAATTATCTAAAATAATAACATAGGCTTGATATTCTTTTTAGTCATGTATGTTAACATCGAGATTTAAAAAATATTCAAATTGGTTCTTTAACTCTTCAAAACGTATCATATTAGTCATTTTCATCAAATTAGTGACGGAAAAACTTAGAAATTGGTCACTAAATTCATCGCTAGTTATTCAAAAAAGATCTGCATGATATATTTTGAAGAGTTAAGAGATTAATATAGATCTTTTTAAGTTAGGGGACCAAAACGAATCCTGAGGTTGACATAAGAAACTCTAAATGGTATTAAACTAGTATTATAATAAGCAAAAAAATTGTTCTATTTAGGAATAAACTCTCTAAAAGATTAACACCATAAAAAAACCTAGCTCAATTTTAGGGGTTCACAAAAAGGGTGTGGATTATTGTTATTTTGTTGAAATGAGATAAATATGTGATTTTTTTGACTGAAATCTTTTTTAAATGAGAAGGGTGAGACAACTGTAAAAGCGGAATATGTAAAATGTAAAGTATGCAGGGGTTGGGGAAAAGAGAGTTGGGATTGTCGTGGTAGAGTGGATAAGTGAATAATGGGTATATTCCCCCTTATGTGAGTAAGGGGAGTGAGTGGATAAGTGAACAATGGGTATATTCCCCCTTCTGTGAGTAAAAGGAGTGGATAAATGAACAATGGGTATATTTCCCTTATGCGAGAAAGAGGAATGGATAAGGGTATGAGTGTACACGAGTTGGGTTGAACCGGGTTTGACCTAACTTGTTATCTGACTCGTTCAAACTTGAATGGGTTGAGTTTGTCGTCCAATCCACAATTTCACATTCAAAACCGAACCGAACTGACTCATTCATTTATAGGTTGAGTTGGGTAGGATTCGCGGGTTATGTTTCAAATAAAATAATTTTTTTTTACTTATTAAAAAAATTGTAACACAATTCGATATAATTACATTCATTTCTAACACTTAAATTGGATGAAACACATCATACAATGTTAATAAAATTCATTCATATGATATAACACTTGATAATAGTAGAAAATTTCACATGACATGTTATTTCCATAAAATACGAAAGTTGAAATGATAAAAAAAAGAAACAACACTTAGTCTTAGAATCACATAAACTTATTGGTCTATAGTAATATTGATGTTCATTTAACTTTATTTTTTTGGAAAAGTTATGGTTAGTAGTGATATATTAATTTTATATTTTTATTTAAAATAATAATAAAAAATAAGAAATCATTAATGTCACATCAATAGGTTGGATCAACGAGTTAGCGGATTGAGAAACTCAAACCTGATATCCGAACTAAAACTATATTGGTTGTTGTGGGTTGGGTTGGATATATTCATAAATGAACGTGTTCAGGTAATTTATGAGTTGGTTCGATTTAGGTCATTGGGTTCGTTGGTCGACCCGCATCCATGAACATCTTAGATAAGGATATATGTAAAAATGGAAAAGAGATTTTGATGACAACATTTTCAAGTCTAGTAGGGCTCAAAGGTGATGAAGATATACTTGCACAAGACCTAAATTTAAAATCTAGACTTAAAAATCTGAATTTATATCATTTTTTAAAAATAAAATTTATAAAATTTTAAATTTTAAAAATAAATTATGATTTTACACCAAATTTTTTCTTAAAAACAACTGTAAAATAGATTTTAAAAACAAATATAATTTTTCACTCTTGTTTTTAAAAATAAATGTAAAATATTTTTTTTTAATAATTAAAAAAAATGAATCTTCTACGGACTACACCTTCACTGGACCAACGCTGTATCTGCACAAACTATAGTCTATGATAAAAATACAATGAGAGAAGTAGTAAAAAATAATAAAAAATTAAGATTCAAAAGAGTTTAAATTTAAGAGATTATCCACATTTCTTAAATATCTGGTTTTATTAAATATTAGGAATGAAATATTTCTTTATAGACCAAACTATATTGTTAGTTATATTATAAAATATTTTTTTTATCATTTTAAATTTTAATTAAAGTATTATATTTCCAATCTTTATAAATGTACCAATTTTATTATTGTAATCATAGTTTTATTTCACTTTATTTTATTTTATTCAAGTCTAATTATATTTATATTGAAACTAACCACATATATATTATTTAACTTCTTTTTAGAGTTTGCTCTTATGACACATGTTAAAAAAAATTAAAATAATTTTTTATAAAAAAAATAAAAAATAATTTTTAATTTTTAATTAAAATATTATATAATTTTTAAGAAATTTGTTTTATATTTAATTTTTAAAAATTTATATGTAAGCATTATTCTAATTTATTAGATTAAAAGTATCAATTAGGATAATTTCAACCTTTTATTATTTGAGTTTAATTAATATAAATTAACATTGTAAAATAATTTTACATTATCAATCAAAAAGAATTAATCAATCTATCATATCATATTAATAAATTAAAATTTATAATTTAATATAACAGAATACATAATAGTGATTAATTAACCGTATAAATTAATTTTACATTACTAATTTATATCAATTAAATTTTTATTATTTAAAAAAAAAACAAATACCGTAAATTAATAAAGCCTATAATCTACCGTACACATTTTTATTTTTAAAATATTAATATAATTTAATAAATTTAAAAAATTTGAGCGCTTAGTATTGTTTTGCAAGTGCATTATCTTTTTAAACTTTTATTTAAAAGAAACAAAAAAAATATTCATCTATAATTCCATAATCCCATCCAGGGTTTTACACCGCCTTCAGAGAAAAGCGCGTAACAGTTTTATTTTAATTGCATCATGGCCGTCCAATTTTTCTCCATCCGCGATAACACAGCCGCTAATCCCGATCCAACCTTCTATATAAACCTCTCTACCCTAATTCCGATATTCCAAAATTAGCTTAGTAAGTCTTTCTCTCGTCTGTTCTTTTTTAAGTTATATACTTGTTTGGTTTGCTTCGTGATGGCTAGACTTCATGGTTTACGATTGTTAGGGATTTGCTTATTGATATGCTTTTCGATTGTAGATATCGAGAATTTTTTGGATCATTTGATTTAATTATGAAGAATTTTTGGATATAATACTTCATTGGATAATCAAGACATTGTTTACCTGTTTTGCAGCGATTTGGGATTCTTGATGCAATGGATAAGAACGGAGAATGAATTTGGAGAAATCAAATTTCTTCAATTATTTTTATTTCTCGAATTTTCCAGATTGTTTGCTTCGTTATGGCTTGATGTTAGGGTTTGTTGATTGTGTTTTCTTATTGGATTTGCGCTGCGTTTCTCAGATTGCCGGATTTGCGTTGCGTCAGATTGCTGATCGTGTTTCCTTGATGGATTTGCAATGGATAAGAACTGAGAATGAATTTGGAGAAATCAAATTTCCTCAATTATTTTTATTTCTCGAATTTTCCAGATTGTTTGCTTCGTTATGGCTTGATGTTAGGGTTTGTTGATTGTGTTTTCTTACTAGATTTGAGCTGCGTTTCTCAGATTGCCGATAGTGTTTTTTTGATGGATTTGCGTTGCGTCAGATTGCTGATCGTGTTTCCTTGATGGATTTGCAATGGATAAGAACTGAGAATGAATTTGGAGAAATCAAAATTTTTTCAATTATTTTTATTTCTCGAATTTTCCAGATTGTTTGCTTCGTTATGGTTTGATGTTAGGGTTTGCCGATCGTGTTTTTTTGATGGATTTGCGCTGCTTTTCTCAGATTGCTGATCGTGTTTCTCGAAGGATTTGCAATGGATAAGAACTGAGAATGAATTTGGAGAAATCAAATTTCTTCAATTATTTTTATTTCTCGAATTTTCCAGATTGTTTGCTTCGTTATGGCTTGATGTTAGGGTTTGTTGATGGTGTTTTCTTACTGGATTTGCGCTGTGTTTCTCAGATTGCCAATCGTGTTTACTTGATGGATTTGCGTTCCGTCGGATTGCTGATCGTGTTTCCTTGATGGATTTGCAATGGATAAGAACTTGAGAATGAATTTGGAGAAATCAAAATTTTTTTAATTATTTTTATTTCTCGAATTTTCCAGATTGTTTGCTTCGTTATGGTTTGATGCTAGGGTTTGCCGTGTTTTCTTGATGGATTTGCGCTGTTTTTCTCAGATTCCTGATCGTGTTTCTCGAAGGATTTGCAATGGATAAGAACTGAGAATGAATTTGGAGAAATCAAATTTCTTCAATTATTTTTATTTCTCGAATTTTCCAGATTGTTTGCTTCGTTATGGCTTGATGTTAGGGTTTGTTGATTGTGTTTTCTTACTGGATTTGCGCTGCGTTTCTCAGATTGCCGATCGTGTTTTCTTGATGGATTTGTGTTGCGTCAGATTGCTGATAGTGTTTCCTTGATGGATTTGCAATGGATAAGAACTGAGAATGAATTTGGAGAAATCAAAATTTTTTCAATTATTTTTATTTCTCGAATTTTCCAGATTGTTTGCTTCGTTATGGATTCATGTTAGGGTTTGTTGATCGTGTTTTCTTACTGGATTTGCGCTGCTTTTCTCAGATTGCCGATCGTGTTTTCTTGATGGATTTGCGTTGCGTCAGATTGCTGATAGTGTTTCTTGATGGATTTGCAATGGATAAGAACTGAATGAATTTGGAGAAATCAAATTTCTTCAATTATTTTTATTTCTCGAATTTTCCAGATTGTTTGCTTCGTTATGGCTTGATGTTAGGGTTTTGTTGATCGTGTTTTCTCACTGGATTTGCGCTGCGTTTCTCAGATTGCCGTTCGTGTTTTCTTGTTGGATTTGCTTTGCGTCAGATTGGTGATCGTGTTTCCTTGATGGATTTGCGTTGTGTCAGATTGCTAATAGTGTTTCCTTAATGGATTTTGTTGTGGCTTGATATGTTTTCTGATTGTGTTGTGATACGCCAGGCTGCTGATCGGTTTTTTTAATGGATTTGCGTTGTGGCTTGATATGTTTTCTGATTGTGTTGTGATACGCCAGGTTGCTGATCGGGTTTTTTTAATGGATTTGCGTTGCGTCAGATTGCTGATCGTGTTTTCTGAATTGATTTGGGTTGCGTCAGATTGCGTTTTCACTTCAGATTGGTGATCGTGTTTTCTTGATGAATCATTTGTTTAATTTTTAGATATAATATAATATATTAAGCAGGTACACATGAAACACTTGGCACAGGTTTTTGATTGATAAGTAAGAGATATGTTTAACAATTATGCAGCAAAGCCTTATGATATGACACACAAGAACAGAGAACAGCTCAAATCCTTCTTCAATTAGTCTTTCTTTTCTTTTTCTGGCTTTTATTACACGGCATGCAAGTTGAATTTTAAACATGTTTTCTGCAGCAGCTCGGTTTTCCATAATAATAACCTTCTTCAGCAGCATGCATCAGCCTAGCTTTTTGATTTGGTGATATCGATGAACTTATTTTTGTTTTCAATTCTGAGAGCATATCTTTCTTGAAATTGTCTTCTGATCTTGTACAAGTTGTTGTTGAAGTTTGTGTTTCTTCCATGTTGAGGTTTGTGTTTTTTATTATCAGGGACTTAGATCTTTGGCTAAGTACAAATTACGGAATTAGATACCATTTTTGAATCTTTGATACAGCCCAAGCACTGCTATGTGTCATGTGTCAGATACCCACGCTTCCTACTATTGCTGCACTTTAATTTGGTCATCCACTACCAGGACTTTTACACTTTAGTCTTTGTTTGATTTGATACACAATGTCTACTTTTGTTGGTTTCTTTGAGTTGTGTGTGAGTCTTGCAGGGAGATGCATTTATCCGCAGCAAGTTGAGAAATATGGTTGATATCCAGAATGCCTTGATACAACAAGAATAGAAAATAACTCCAGATAGCTAAATCAAATTTTTTCAATGGGTCATTCTTTATTGTTTTTATTTCTGGCCTTTGATTGCAAGGCACAAATTGATTTCTGAACGTGTTTTTCTGCAGCGTGGTTGTGCCCAGCTAATAGCCTTCCATCACTACCAGGACTATTTCTTCTAGTTCTATTTTCCTCTTGTTTGATCTTCATGGCTGTTGATTTTTGCTTTCTTTATTCTTAGGTTTGATTTGGTTTTTGATAGTTGTGACCTTGGAAGTTACTTTCTACTATTATTTTGCGACAACTATTATTCTTTAGTTGATTTCTGTACATATGGGTGTTTTGTGTTTAATTTGTTGGCAGCACTTATTAGCAACTCTATGGAGTTTTGGTTTGAATTTTTCTGTCTTAAGGTTGCAGATTGATATCTAATAATGGTAATGTTTTGCATTTATCAACTTACTTGAATTGCGAATTGAAACTTGTACTGTTTTCTGTTATGTAATGTGATGTGTTTTGCAACAGTAGTGTATTGTCTTATCAAGCAATGTGTATTCTGGGAGTTTTGGAGTTTTTGTAGCAGGAGCATTATTCTGAAGCATACCATTTTCTAGACTGAAGTACATCTTTCTGGCCGAGCCAAGGAATTCTTGACAACTTGGTTTGACTCATTTTTTTTTCTCTGTTCGTTTCCACTCTCCCAAATAAATATTCTGTTGGTTGTGTCATATGTTCTCACCATTTCTAGATTTTAATCTGAAGATATATATTTGTATATAGATATTTTATTCGTTAATCTGTTATAATTAAATTACGCTACAATTTTTGTGCATTTGTTGTTGTAAGCTTTCAGCTTTTATTGTTTATGCGACTTCTGCATTGTTCATTGTGAGTGCAAGATATGTTATCAGACGATTGACAAAGCAGTTTTGGTATGGTAAATTGTTAAACTCTGCTACATTAATATCGCAATTATTTCACACTAATAGGCCATCAACAATATGACATACATGTTTAACATTTGCTAACTTTAAAGGATATGTTGTTTTTATATTACTTTATTAAGTTTAAAACTTTGCTAACTTTAAAATATTTGTTGTTTTATATTACTTTATTAGATTTACTAATTTCAGTAATATCAATTCAGAGACAATCTAATATTCTTCTCTTATATGGTAAGTTATAATTATATTTTAAATAGTTCTACTATAACTTTCTCATTTATTAACATGTTTTTTCAGCCGTATTGAGAATTTATTTGATCTTCAACTAGTTGAAGACTGCATGTCCAGAACTTTTCCCGGTTTGTAATTCCAAATATAATAACCGAGAAAGAAATCATATAAATCAAATTCCTAAAATGAGTCCTTTCTAATTTTGATTGAGACATTATTTCTTTGCAGCGTGGTTTCTAAATTGAGGCTTTGTTTGATATTTGTTGGTTTTATGAATCCTATTTTCAGGATTCCTATTTTTATGAATCTTATTTTATGATTTGGTGATTTGTTGAGCTCGCTTGGGTTTTTGTTTTGGGTCTGTCAAATATTCATTGAGACCTGCAGCAATCTTTATGTCTAATATTGATGTACAAGTGAACGCTCATTATTGATAAATGTATGAGAACACTGCCCCGCCTTTCATTTCAACCGTTGATCTACAATTACAGGTCGTCTACACTTCGCGTAAGACAAACCATAGATAGGTTAGGTTGTATAAGTGTGATTCCTCATAAGAATAAGGTATTTCTTTACTCATATTTGTCAAGTTTCAACTCATTCATATACTAACTTGAGCGTCGGAGTGCTAACCTTTTTTGCAGGTACCCCTCTGACCACCACCACATCTGAAGTCTTAATGCGGTACTTGTATGTGCAAGTGAATGCTCATTAGTGATAAATGTATGAGAACACTGCCCCCCTTTCATTTCAATCGTTGATCTATAATTACAGGTCGTCTACACTTCGCGTAAGACAAACCGTAGATAGGTTAGGTTGTATAAGTGTGATTCCTCGTAAGAATCAGGTATTTCTTTACTCATTTGTCAAGTTTTCAACTCATTCATATACTAACTTGAGCGTCAGAGTGCTAACCTTTTTTGCAGGTACCCCTCTGACCACCACCACATCTGAAGTCTTAATGCGGTAGTTGTCTTAAGCATTACATTGTTTCAGTATAGGATAGTTATAATCAAATCTTTTTCATACAAGTCTTTTGCATACATGCTGGAGTTTTGGAGTTCTGATGTTTGGTTGTTTTTTGTCGTTCTCAATTGAATGATTATGACGCCTATTGAGTGTAATGAATTAAATTATGTTATATTTTTATTATCTGTTATGTTTTGTGTTTGATTATCATACTTAGGAATTGAAATATGAATTTGTTGTAAGCATGAAGTCTATTTTGAAACAATAATATAAAGGGTAGTAATAAGCTTCCGATTAAATTTGGTACAGTAATCTTAAACTGTGAATTTTAAGATCCTTCCTTCACTTAGTTGAGCTAATTAACCATCTTTATGCATGAATCACCCAAATTTGGTACACTAATGTTAAACTGTGAATTTTAAGAGCCTTCACTTAGGTTGAGCTAATTAACCATCCTTATGCATGAAGCACCCAAATTTGGTACACTAATCCTAAACT